CCCCAAAACCCCAAAACCCCAAAACCCCAATTGAGATACTCAACATTGAAAAGAATTAACCATTCATAGCGAAAGTCATCTAAGGTAATGAAAAGTGATTTATCGTTACCTTTAGCTTTAAAAATCTGTTAATATATTGTAATATCTCATAATTATTAAATTTGGAGCAAAGATAATCCTATACAACAATGCTTCATTATAAATAACTATTAGCCAGATTTAAATATCTTTTTGTAAGTTAAATAGTGTCATTAAATAAGTACCATTTGAATCCTCACTCTGAATCGAACAATTGACTGAGCTTATTTTGAATAAAAATCTCATAACCCTATTATTTTGTAAGTGCTCCTATTCAAAATGCTGATAAAATAACCTTATATTAGGGAAATCAATAATACTATACTTCTAAAGATTTGTAGCATGGATACTTAACAACTCTTCAAAAATTTTCGCTACTAAAGAGTGATTAGTTTCATGCAGATGAGGATTTTTCTACAAAAATTATTCTACCCTTCTTTAGTTTTAAGTAAGCTCAGTTAGAACCTTACCGTGTATTAAAAACTATACAGATGCAACTTACACTTTAGCTACACATAACTTTGAAAAGGTATGCTTATCCATAAAAGTAATCTTCTGTAAGAGCCAGGCTGGCTAAGATCAAACTAATATTTTAGCACCTTAGCATTTCCTGACAAAATATAAAACTATTTAGCCTAAATTTAACATTTCACTAGTTCTAAATCCCTTGTAAATTTGTCAAAACCTCAAGAACTTATTAAAAATTCGATCAGTCTAAAAATTGCAATTTCTGATCAAATAGAGAGGTGATTTCCAAGCAGCTTCCAGTTGAGTTCACCTAGAATATCAACCGAAGACTTTATCACAGAAGAGACTTGTAACGCATATCCAAGCTATCAACAACCATGCTCACTGTGAACACAGAAGTTTGAAAAATTGCAAGATGCTATCATGGCCAAATATTAGTCAAAGCTCTTAACAGATTAGTTTGCTCAGGTGAGTAAATTTAGAAGCGAGCAAGATTTAGGTAGAAGAGTCGAATTTGTGCATGGAATTTATCTTAGGGAAATACGTGAATTTATTACCCACAATTAGGGGTTTTAGTTACTACCGGAACCAATATTGGCAAAGAATGAAGTATACATAGAAAGACTATAATGACATACGCCCAATTTCCAAGGAAAGGCAGCAATTTTATGCTAGCTATGATTCAGAAGAAAGAACTAAATATTCCCGTCAGATATCTTTTCAGTGGTCATAGAGTAAGATGATACCTTTCGAATAACTGCAAGCATAAATCTCAATAATCATGATGGCAGTTGTTTCATCTAGTATACCCATTAATTTTATCTTTAAACCCAGTTGATTCTCATATTGGGCAAATTTTTGATGTACAGAGGGTAAATATCGCTCAAATAATCATAAAAATAGAAACTTCTTTCAAGAGCTGAGTATCACTTCTAGTCCATAAATTTTCCTTCAAAAACACAGTTCAGTGTGGTCAGTAGTGGTCCTCGCCTACAAGATCTGTATTCATAGAGGTGATATATGAGCAAGTGCCAAAATAACATCTCAAAGTTACTTTTCGCGGCTGTAATTTCACCATACTAGCTTCCTTATTAATTGTACCTAACTTCTGTTTTCCTAAAATTCTTAGTAAATCTTCTTGGCTGAAGTAATGATCTCATTGTAAGCCAATACAAGGAATCTGAACATTATCGGCTGCTTTATAAATATAAGTTCTATTTAGGATCCATTCTTTCACTCAATGATTGCACACTGCTGATCCTCATTCAAGGGGTCTTTCTACTGGGCTCCCATTTCAGTATTGACATTTGAGGCTACTCATTTTTATATTTAATTACAATATTCTGGCAAAAAAGTGGGGTTTTGGGGTTTTGGGGTTTTGGGG